ATTTACCTTTTAACAAAAAGTAGAATGTAAGAAATTGTACAATTATTTAAATTATTATTTCAGGTATTTTAACTACAAATAAAAGAAATATTGACATTTTTTAACAAGTCATCAGGCCCAAAGGAAACGTGATTGGCCAATATTTGTAGGACAGTCCAAAGCAACAATGTGTGAATTTTTTTTAACATACTAGTACGGTCAATTCAAGTTAAGACCTAGAATAAATTGCAATCGAAACCATTCAAGCGTGAAACAACTTCAAATAAATTCACAAACGTCATGCGGAAAATATAATTGTTTCTATGGAGTGGAAGTGTGTTTTCAAGCATATTTTATGATTAAAAGTTGGAACATTTTGCCCTTGAACAATTCATATGGTGACTTGCTTCGATTTACAAGTCATTATAAAAGCTAATGTTTTACTTGTAGGATTCATGACCACATTTGAGTTCAACAGACTGTTTCAAGTCATAATTGTATACAGGGCAATACGGATAGAGTGGTAGATTTTCCTTATAAAGTGCAAAAAAGTCCACAGACGAAATACGATTATCTGCAAAAAATGATTTCTAAAAATCGTTTTGTTTATAGACAGATGGACAACGGTTGGAAAGCAAATGCATGGACCATTTTGAAAGTAAAGCGACAAATCTTTTTCACTTTTCAATGATGTGTTGGATTCATGTGTTGGATTCATTTAAGAAAATTCAGGAAATACAGGGCTCAAGGTTGTGAAGCTTGGTGATGCTTTTTACATGTAGGAGTACACTGTACATGAAAATATGGAACAATGCATCTCAAAACACTTTGATCAGAAAGCAAAAATGTCTATTGATGAGAAACAGATGAAAGTTCTGTACATATGCGGCACATTTTGTTACTTTGTTACAGCCAAATTTGGGAAGGTCCTGATCGAGGTATGATTGAGACATGTCAAGAGTGAAATGCACTACTCCAGAAAAGCATACTTGAGTCCCCACTAATGATTCTTTGGATGGAACAAACCTGGCTTTGTTTTAAAAAAAAATGAACCTAATAACATGACACCTCCCCCCTCCACCACTTAAGGCTTTTATCTAGGAAATGGTTATTATTTGCGGAGGTAATACACTTGTCACACTGCCTACTTTCTGAAGCCAAGAATTTGGTTAAATTTCATTGCAAGATCCTAATCTCATTAATTTGTCAGGTTTTTTTTAGTATAAGTTCGTTTCTTTGGACAATTTGTATGTTATTTATAAGGTACAATGTATGCCAATGCCCAACCAAACTTCATCACAAAAGGAACACATGAATCTCCGATTTCGAATATTTCCCTAATTTAAAATTGGACTCCAGCCTATTGGCGTAGACGCCAGAAATTTAACTTTAAATGGATCTCTTTTTCCACCTTTGTTTCAAGTAGACCTATTTATACAAAGATTTTCCCTGAAACAAAGTGATTTCTTTTAACCTATAATTAATTCGGGCAGTAAAGAAATCTCAAATTTCTTAATTTTTTTCAACAAAATATCCTATGGTATTGCAAGGCAGTGAACAATTTTGAATTCTAGATGCTCTGTGGTATAATTCCTGGCCATTTTCCACTGATTGTTTTAGCAGAATTTTTTTTAATTAGGCCTTTAATTAAGGAGAATAGGCCTATGTGTGATTTGTTTCAAATACTCTTGCTCTGATAAAATTTCTCCTGCATTCAAAGTTGTTGAAAACATGTACATAATTCGATGTTTAACCTATTACTTGTACTAGTTCCTCAATATTTTGTCAAAAGTTCAGATTTTTAGTTTATCAATGTTCAAATTGCTTGAAGATTTTTAGACCATTCACCTAACTTTAACCTTCCAGTAAACCGGAAGTAAAGGTCACACGAATTCATGCACAGGAAAAGAAATGTTTATCAATTAATGGTCTATCTGACAATAAGGTCATTTGTTCAGAAGTTATTGTTGGAAGAAGATCATCATTTTTCAACAAACATCGCATGTAATTTAACACCCGATGACATCAGAGTAATATGCACCACTTGGGATGAGGGTCGATATATATTGCATGTACAAGTTCACATCATAAATCGTTTAGGAGAAAACCTATGGAGAAGTATTGTCCAGAAAAAAATAAGAAGAAAGAATTGATTAATCGTAACAATTCCAGACAGTGGTCGGGTTGTGCCCGACCACTCAAATATGGAAAATATAAGTGGATGTATAAATAACCCCCAACTTCTGGTTTGATAACGTCACAGCATTACAGATCCCATGGTCACCATTGCAACAGATATCAATATTTGGGCTATGAACAAAGTTACAAGACAGGGATCAAATGATAGGATTTTTAAAAAAATGTTCATTTTCAAATTCTCCCTACGGTAACTTCCACTCTGATGACGTCATAAGTTTTAAACCTTGCAAAGTTATATATAGTTGATAAAAGAATAACAAGTGTTGATTTGGTTAAATTTGGAAGGATGGTTTTTAAATGAAAAAAAAGGAAACCCTATTTGATGTATCGATATATAGAGGCGCCCGTTCAAATGATGACGTCAAAATGCTGTTTTTGTGTCATTTAGTCCATTCTAAGCATTTCCGTAATTTATTTGCATATAGTAAAGAGCTTCCGCTTTCAAGTTAAATATTCAATTTTTATCGGACTTCTGGTAGGTCAAGCGGTTTTGCGCCCGGGAGTAAGACTTGTTGCCCTACATGTAGGCATCATCTACAACCTCACAAAAAAACGAATATGATACTCTATTTAGTTCTAAAGTTATAGCTGAAACTATTTCCACAAATTTGCCCTTAAATTGCTTGTAATTTCATACCTGATGGCGTCATGATGACGTAAGATATTTTTTTAACACCTTCAAATGGGGGTTCAAGTTCATACAAGGTTTTATCATAATCCGTTAATAGTTTGGAAGAAATTTGGTTTGTTTTGATTATGAGGCTTCAGTCTGTGTGACCTAACTTTGAGCTTCGGGTTGACCCGGAAGTAAAGGTCAAGCGAGTTCACATACAGGACAAAAAATGTTAATCAACTAATGGTCTATCTGATTACATCGTATGAACATGATTGATTATTTTGTTCAAAGTTATACGTGAAACAAGATTGTCACTTTTTTCAGTTAAAATCATTTGTAATTTGACATCTGATGACGTCAACATTACGTCAGAGTAATATGCACCATTTCGGATGAGGGTCGATATATTGATTAGTTACAAGTTCATATCATGAACCATTTAGGAGAAAACCCGCAGAGAAGAATTGTCCGGAAAAAAGACTTGTATAAGCAAAGATTAATCCTAACAATTTCAAACAGTGGTCGGGTTGTGCCCGACCACTCAATAATTAGGCCTTCATCTACAGTGCACCTATACAGCTAAACATCACTAGTTTAACTTTTAGCCATCTAGTCATGATTGTCTGAAAATTAAATCATGCGGTTCTCTGAGTTTCTTCCTTTTAGCATATAATGTGCAGGTTTTTGGCCATCACATTTTTCCAGAAATTTTCTTGGTTGCAGTCCAGTTTCAATTTCAAGAATAGGGCATTGGCATAGCCGTAGTTCAGATTTTACATTTGTAAATAAAACAATCGACAGAATCGGACAGGAAAAGAAATTGTAAAACATTAAACAATCATATGTCACATCTCAAACACAAAAAGTCATCAGCGATTGCAATTTCCACATATGCTACAAAACAATTGTTAAAAAAAATATGCAGAGAGTAATTTTAGATGATGACAATGCCAAAAACTCCCTGGGAATTGCTTCTTATCGCGGCCCGGCGGCCCGCGCCGGGCTGTGGGCCGTGCTCACCGGCAAACTACAACAAAAATTTTCCGCAGCATTAAAGCAACAATGCCTTGAGTGCAACAAACTTGCTTTGTGGCAATAATTGCTGATTGGTTTTGTCCTTAGAACAAACACGTCCCTGTATTCTACCAAACTTATCAAATTGCAATTATCAGCAACAAATAGTAACGTCAAAAACTTTTCGATTGCTATATTCTTCTAAAGATTTCAGCGCGTTGAGGCAATAGACATTTAATAAAACTTAGACACGACATTTGCAATTCCGTGTGTGAGCAAAATAGAATACGACTGTCAATTACAACTCATATGACTGTCAATTACGCGAACACTCATGCATGGGTGTGATGCATCGCGCAAGAACTGTGGTCTCACTAAGCGAGTTGTTTGAAATCATCGGCTGCGGGTGTATACGTACGCAAATATGCATGTAATTTGAAGCCAAATGATATTCGTGCATCGTGAAACATTTGGTCACATGCCACTTAACGCAGCCTGTTTTGCTCACACAATTCACAAGGTAATTAAAACAGTAAATGTCTAGTCGAGGTTTTAGATGTCAGATGGTCGAGCCATTTTTTATGGACAGATCCAGTGATATCTTAAGGGATGCTATAACCTTTCTTTGAAGTTTTACATCGATCGTTTCTCAAACAAATGCTTTACGAAAATTATATGGTGACGTTGTGACGAATAAGGAGATGTTTCAGACTGCATAAAAAGCATTATTTGTAATTTTGAAACAGTGAAAATGCTGGTAAACCGGGAGCACAAATGATGGCCCAGTGGTCCCCAGAGCGGATATATGTGACGGGCACGTACATGTACGTGCCTACCGGTGCGTAGCGCTGGAAGTGGAACTACATTGTACACAGCACAAACCAGCACGTGCTTTCATAGTTAATGCGTACGTACGTATATAGGTTCGTATGGCACCATTCAGTATCGGTATCGTACGGGTTACGTGCTGTTGGATAGCGCTTTATTTTAAAGCTTCTATCTCACTGTGTTGTACGGCCAGGCGCAATATGTGCCAAGTCACCGTGCATAAATACGAACAAATGTAATGAGATATATTTTTTTCGGAAGCAAATTGGCGGGATTTAAACGAGGCGCTTATTTCCGAAAGCGTAGCGGGTGCTAAAACTATATTTAATGTCTGGCTACAATACGCTGCCCCCCCCCCCCCCCCCCTCCCTTTGCAATGCCCATGGTGATGCCAATATTTTCTTGAAATTAAAAAAAGGGAAAAAAAGGCCTAGTTAATAAACAAAAGGCGTTAGGCTGGGTTTAGTTGATTTGCCTATAAATAGGGCTGCATGAGTTAGCTGAATGCACATTTTTTTGCCGATCACGGCTTAAGACTTTACGCTCTCTGTACATACCATTGTTTACGTGATGAACAATTAGTAGCGAAAAAGTGAATAAAAATACTTTTTCACTCCTTTGATGAAATTAGCTTTAAGTAGTGACATTTCTTTAGCAGGATAGCATTAAAATGAATCCTATTGCAATTTGTTCTAAATTGACCGTACTACATGTATATGAGGAACAATCAATGAAAGTGGTATTACTGATTCACAGCCTCCTACGTTTGTCATCCATACCCAAGATGCATTGTGAATATATCAAAAGGTTTGTTTTTCTTAGCATAAATTTGTCGTGTGCCTGGCAGAAGGGCAATAGCGCGTAATGACCCAAATGTTCCCAGCAAAATGGCATATGCAGAAAACTGCATCTATTTTAATAAAATTTAGACATTTTTGTCAGAAATGAATACAGGTTGTTCCAAAACACATGATTGACACGTGTGACAACTTTCAAAATCGTACGATTTATAATACGCGTGGGAGAACATTGGATTCATAATACGCGTGGGGGAACAATAGAACCTTTCAATGCAATTTTCTTGAAAATGATTTTTGCGTCAGGACGCTCATATGCCCTACTGCCGGGCACCGAATAGTAGCATGAAACAATTTACAATATTCAAAGAATAAACATTTATGGGTGTCCCTTTTTATTTCTATGGTTCTCATTTTTATTTTTTTGTCCCTGAAGTAGGGTCGGTTGGTTGGCCAAAAAAGTTCTGAAGAAAAATAATTACAATTCCACCTTGTAAAGATAAATAAATTAAATGATGCAAAGTGCATAAACAAAATAAATAACGCCATCTTTGGCAATGTAGTTGACTGAATTTGAGCACTATGCAACTCGCTAACATTAATTTGTTACAGCGGTAGCCATGACATAACGCTAAACAATAGACCCCGGATGCAACACCCTCACATCTTCTGGGGTTGCATAGGTTGCCGAGGACATTGCTCGAAAATGAGAACCATTGGATAAAAAAGGATGCCCAAATAACAAAAATACCAGAATTTAAGCAGCTGATTTTGAAAAATAACATTGAAGAAAAAAAGAACAATTAAAATAGGAAACATTTGAAAACTTTTCACATTTCCCACCACCACTCATGAAAGTTCTGATGATGAAAAGTTCCATCGGTTGTCAAGCAAAAAGGTTAAACGCACGCGCAATAGTTTCTCCATAGAAGAGGTTCCCGCGATCACAACGGTCAGTTTATGCTTGGATTTGTCATCACAGTTTGAGCACGTATCCCGTTCTTTTAAGACGAACGACGACATCATATCAGCAACAGTTCAGAGGTATGGAAAACTTGCAACAGTTCTAATTAACTGTCAAGTCAAATCGCGGGGCATGATCGATCAGGTTTTGCGTTTAGTTCATTTCAGTCCAGTTGAATAAGCACCTATCCAGTTCTTTGATACGCTCCGAATCCTTATAAGGTAAATGTTCAAGTTGCAGTGGTCAAGGTGGAGCTTATTGCCCCACCCCCTCAAATGATCCGTTCCATTGTAAGTGTCTGATACTGTCCAGACTTATACGTCTCTCCATCAGTCTCTCTATTAGGCTATCATTTTTCCTGTGCGGTCCACCTGCAGGAGACAATGCGAGATAGAAACAAAAAAAGAGTTTTATCAGAAAAGTCTTTCACTGGACAGCTAGGGCTCATATTAAATGGATCATCAAAATCTGATCTACAAAGTTTTGTCCAGAATATAGTTTAAATGCCCCCAATACATAACAGTTTTTCAAAGCTTTATTTATTTTTATTTGGGGGGGGGGGGTAGGTTACATTTAGCCGGGAGAATAATGGTTTGTAAAATAATTTCAAAGAAATCTTTCTAACCACAAAACTTGATTTCTGTCTGGCTACGATTTTTGTATCCTCCAGGGAAAAGGGAGCAGGGTTGTTACAGGTCTCAAGAAGACAGTGGGTGCCACCAGCTTGGCGACCAATAGTGTCCAAGCAAAAGTTACTAACCTCCCTCAAATACATTTCTGTGCAAAAGTTGTTGCCAAAAATCTTTTTCATTAGAAATTACATGTAGCTCACATAAAGAATGTCCCTATATTTTCCAATTCACTTATACTGACATATTCACTTATACATACTTATGCCTAATGGGAGGCTGATCTGGCTAATCCGAGGTTCAATGCTGTCACAGGAAGGCTGAGGTAGAGCAAGGATGCAATCCCTGTGCACCTGGGCGATGGAACAGTAATAGCAGTGTACAACCTGAAAATTAGATCAATTGAAAATGTTTAGTCATAAATCTCAATGTTAGGCAGAAATTGGCAAAAGGAGACAACAAAGATTTAATGATGTCATGCTTTGTTTACACGTGTGCTTTAATTCCTATGGGAGCTTGGTGGATGATGAAGTGTGCATGCAAATAAAGCCTGATGTCATTGTCTTTGTCAAGTTGGATGTACTGTACACAAAAGTACAAAATCCTTCCAATTAGTAACAATTGGTCTGAAATATGAGGGATATCCATTATTAAACCAGAGAAATTCCAATTACAGTTTGGAATAGAAGAGACTATGCAATGTGTGGATATTATTAAGTCCAAAAAAGGCTTTTCTTTTTTTAATTGGAAATTATTGCCAATCATTATTGCAAAGTTGAGATGTAAAATCAATTACCTTTGCTCTGATAGTCCTTTGCCACAGGTACTGCAGCAGAATCATCTCCTGTGTGTTCTCACTAGATCACATTTGGCTATATATAAGTGGAAATGAAAAAAAAAACAGAATTAGATATCAAGCAAATATTTCCAGAGATAAAGCTCAGGGGAAAAAAAATTGCAACCCGACGCTTATTTTTTCTTCATAACATCTCAATGAATGTCATTGCAAAAATGATCATAAAACATGAATTTGGGCCTGAAAAATATTTCCAATTTTGTTAGGAAATACTTAAAAAAAAGTCTTGGCTCTCCGTAGACTTTGTAGACATGCGCGGAAGTGGCATTTGGTTGCAATAGTTTTTCCAAGCTCAGACCTGGATATTTGCAAGGGAAAATAAGATTTCAACATTTTTGGACATCTATTTTCCCTTTAATCTTAGAAGCATCTTTTTTCAAGCTTTATGGACAGAAACAAAATTTTAATATTGACTAAAACCTGCTGATTTTTATCTTATGTTAATGAAGCTGTTTTAATTAGGTATAAGATGATTGTCAATTAAAAATATAGTCTAAGAATTTATGCAATTTTTCTCAAAAGTCTGATTTCAGACAAAAGTGTGAAACATCTCACGCCTGTTTGATGCTCACCTTTAACAACACTGATGTCATCTTCACTCCATCCACAGCATGATGAATATCCTGGTCAGGTTAGTCAAAACAGGGCCACCACGTGAAGGTCCCAGGATACCAGCCCCAACATGCTTTCCGTATCATCGGGCCCATCGCTGTGACAAGGGCGTACCAATGCCACTGTCCGGTCCACCCCAAGGGGTGCCCTAACTTCTATGCATGCCGCCCCTCAACCCCCGTCCCCCATCGGGGGGTGATTCGAGGACGTAGCAGCGTTTGCTCACCAAATATGATAACAGGGCCATGCCCCTAAAAAGGGACACGACTACCCGCACCTTTAAGACAAGCATCCTGTTTCCAGGCCGTTGCTCAGGTCTGTACCGCGCCGATGGTACACCCTTTCATTCGCACCACCACGCTTTCAGTATCATTGGACCCATTGCACGTGACAGGTTCAGACCCCTTAGCCCGTAGGCCTAGCGTCCTACTTGCTGCCTCGGTCCGGTACGCCCCCCGAAGAGGGTGCCCTCAACTTACTTGCGCGCGCCCGCCACTCCACTGAGGGGAGAGTGGGGACGTAGCAACGCTGGCCCACCGACTATGGAAACCATGCCGACCCCCAAACGCAGAGACCTCATCGAGGCGATTCCACGCAGGGGGACACAAAGCTCCTTTAAGACAAGCTTCCCGTTGCTGATTGTGCTGGGTTTTCGCCGCACTTCTCCATGGAGACCTAGCAACTCCGCCCTAACTTAAGCCCTATGACTCCCACAGTCTTCACTTTTCAGAGGGATAACATATCCCACAGAACCAAATATTTGATGTGGACTAGAAAAAAAATTAAAATGGCCCCAATGGCAAGTACATACATGTGTTTATGCCCTAAAGGCAATGCACTAGTTCAAGTAGATTTAAATAGTGGGGCCTTGCAGCAGTGACTAATCAAACACCCATTTCCTTATATCCCGACTTAATGTTCCATGGACATGTAGTAGAAATTTCCTTATATCCTAACTCTATAGCTCAATGATTCATGGACCCGTGTACTAGAGATTTGATTATGAGTTTACCACTTTGAATTGATTGTGATGACCATAACAGCTTTTGCTGTTCTCCGCCAAGGAGTAATGGTGCTTAAATGCATATTTGCTCCCCCAGCAGCAGATAATGTATCTCACACGATCACAACAACACCCCCCCCCCCCCCCCCACCTTACCCATAAACAAACACCTATCTGAACCAACCCGGGAAAATAAAGACATAAATTAAACATGAAAAAATTCTTGATTTTGTTCCTTTTTTTAAAAAAAACCAACAGTAGGCCTTAAAGACAAACATTTTGAGAATACAGAAATGCCTTTAAAAATGCCAATTACGAACAAGTTGGCATTAGTTTCTTTGAATTTCTTTTCCTTTGAGCAAAACATTACATTTGAAATATAGTCACTTGATTCAATTTGCTTTCACTGACATTTTCCCAGGATGGTTCATAAATATCTACAAGCAAATTTGAATTCACAAATGATTCAATTTTATCGATGGCAGTTATATTTTAAGAAACTGAATTGCCAAAACATGCTTGGTTCACATGAGATATGTACGCTGCAGTTGCCACAACATTGACTAGTCAGGAAGGATTCAAATTTGCTTGCATATCAAAAAGCACAAGAAGCAGACTGACTCACTCTGAACAACCCATCAAATGACTCCTCTTCATCCAGGGGGACAAGTCTTGAGGCATGTGGCCTAGAAGAGCTGTAGAGAAATGGTTACCTCACCTTGGTTTACATGCAACCTTGTCCCCCTCGTTCTAATCTACCACACAATCCAAAGCGACTCCACTTGCAAACTGTACGGCGGCAACATCCGGGGTCTTGTGCATGTTCAAGCCTGCATACAATGGTTACCTTACCTTATGAACATACAAACGTGTCCCCCGGCCTCTACCCCAGCTGTCTATGGCCCTACGGAGAACTATACAACTTCAGAAGACTTCTGCAAGCCAGGCACCTTGGTCACGCTCCTTTCCAGCTTACATCTCAAGAGTACCTGCAGATAGATAGAGCAAAAACACTTCAAATTAATGAAGAAGCAAAATCATGTTTTACTGCTCAGCATAAAGGGTTGTGTCTACCATGCTTGGCCGGTTCATCTCAAGATGTGCAAAAAGTTGATACAATTTTCTCCTAGCCTTTTATAGGGCAGAGTTAACAATATGACATACAAAGGTTCGAGGTGTATCACATAAAGATAGTGTAACGTTCACCGAGTGGTCTGGGGTCGAAAAGATAATCGGGTTTTTTAAGGATTATGAACTTGGTCTTTGGTTGAAATGCAGTATACTCTAATAAAGAAACTCCACACACCAGATCTGTGTTTTCCACTGTTTTATTCTGTAACGTTCATCAATGAAATATTCTGCAAACAATTAACGTTTACTCACTTCAAGAAGATCCCGGTTTTCCCCAGCTTTCCCACAGCACTCCAAACATGCCAAAACGTGTCTGCCCCAAAAGCATTCCTTGGCTTTCCGCCAAAAATGTAACAACTTGTCAAGTGGCGCGCATTTATCGATCGCCTAATTAACATAACCAAAAACATTGCGGGGCACTGCGCTAGCTCCAGTGCAGCGCTCAATTCCATTACACTCAGTTCAAAACACACTGCAGTCAATTTCTTTGCTAAATTTTAAACAAATTTATGAGTCACTTTTCCTTTGAAATTTGTTTAGAAAATAATTTCTTTTCATTTTTTCCCTTTGTGTTTAGACAGATGAGTGTAGTGTATACGACCCAGCCAGTGATTTTCTTGCACCCACCAGAACGCACAATTTTCAGTAATTTTTCGAGCATTTACCTCAAAGGCGGGGGGGGGGGGGGGGGGGGGGGGGGGGGGCACCAACAATGGATGTGAAACCAGCCGAACAGAAAATAGGCAAATATTTGCTAATGTTGGTGAAAATGTCTGTCTTTGTAGTGATAAAATAAAATTTAAAAAAAGAGCCCACACATCTGTTCTGAAAAGTACATGCAGACATGTGGGTTTTTTTCCCCGGACACTGGGGGCGCTGTTCAAACAGACTTTTCATATAAAAAAGGCACTTGTTCGGAAAAAAGGCAACAAAAGTTTTTTAAAAAAGGGCACTCATGCAAAAATACTGGGAGGGGGGAGTATGCTGCAGGCCTCGATCTTGGGCAAAAAAGGGGCAGGCCACTTTGGCCTTGCCCCCATCAAAATTCCACAGGGCACCAAGGCCAGCTCAAGGGGGCACCAAGGCCAATCATTTTAAAACCTTTAATTTACATTTATTTACAGCCAGTGTATACACGCCTATTTTCTAGGTCACCGTAACAATCAAGAGTATTCAGTTCTTGTACAAATGTAAACCATGTCCAAAGAATCTCCAAAAGTTGTATTTTTCATTACAAAACTGTATTTTTCAAAATGTGCATAGACGGGCTATACGAACAAATAAATGTGGCTGCAATGCTCCATTTCTAATACATCTTAATTAAAGTTATTAAGAAAATGACCAGAGGTCTCCCTGCGGGTGGTAACCCAATCAAACAATTTGCATGAATAAGGATATTGATCATATCTTATTCATAAACAAACTGCTTTAAAAACTATTCAATGCAAGTTTACTTAAACATATACTAAAGACTAGACTTTCTCATGTTTGAAATTAATAAACCTTTAATGCAGGTGAAACATTCATTTGGCCATGTTCAGACACCGTGTTAGCAAAAACAGTAAAAGTTAAAATGGTTGCTCGCCACAGGAGGTCCGTCGTAAAAAAATAAAACTACAGAGCGTCCAGACATCGTTTTAAGTACAGCAAGTTCAACTCGAAGCAGTTTATCTCAGTTTCTAAGGTCATGTACAACATCCGCCCCAGCAAAAACCGCACGCCAAAAAGAGCCTTTTAATTCACTCTTCCGTTTTGACAGTTCGCTACACGTGGTCTGAGCACCTCAGCGTGTGATGCGTGTTGCCATGCCGTGTTTGACATCGCAGCAGAAAAGGGCCGCATACGGGACATTGAAAAATGAACTATTTGAACTGGTTCAGGTACCATTGTTCTGGCAAGGTGTATAGTCAACACACACCTGAATACGCAACCCAATAGTGTCCCTAATTGTGGTTTCTTTATGGTTTTGAAGCAATTGGGGCTGGGGTTACTTTGTTAAAATATGGGGTGAAAAAGGTGAAAATCAAAACTCTAAAAGTGGTTACATCATACACAACTGAGGTCATACGTTGCCAAGCAACCCGTTCCACACAGACCCAGCCTTATAAAGCGATAGCACGGTGCCCACTTTTTCATAATTTTCTATCAGTTGGAAAATGAAAATAACAGCAACCATCACGTTCTGAGTGATGAATACAGTCAGCTACGAAGCACTCGCTAGCCCTGTCCCATTTTCCAGTCTTATTTATTCTTAATGTCTGAGAAATCTCAAATAGACAAAATTCACCTAAATTGCCGGTAAAAATAGTGGATGAGACATATTGTGTGGAACAATCACTATTGGAGACCAGACGATCTTGGGTTACATCACACTTCTACGGTGTATTGTAAAAGGGCAACCTTGGTGCAATTTTTTTGTTTTTCATCCAATATATTGACAGAATGTCAAATGTATAATCTTCACCTTTGGGGTGCTTCACAGACCACTCTGGGTCTGCAAAAATTGTTTCAAAAGGATTTGGGTTCTTTTAAATCGATCCCTGGAATTTTCAAAGAATGTGACTGAAACTGTATGATTGATTTTTATTTTAACCATAAGCCAAAAAAAAAAAAGGTTTTAAGTTACCTCCAAGTTTCCAGCATGAGACATGCCTCCACTAGTAGTAAAGATGGCGAATTGCACTGGTCCCAACATCAGAGAGTCATCAGAATTCCACTTGTCCCAACATCAGAAAGTAATTGTTCCTCAAAGGTCCAGTCCTTTCAAACAAGCTCATCCTCCAAGTGTCAAGCTTCCAAAATGGCATGGAGTTCAAGTTAGGCATGTCCTTCAATTGTTCTTCCAAGATTAAGATGCAAAGAGTTTATGCCAAGTTCGCAGTCCAGAAAGGCAACACTCACAAAAACAGTTGTTAAAGTCCGATCCATCCTGGGCTGAAAGTTGCTGCAGAGTTGCCTTTAATGTTGATCTTAAGTCCAAATTAGATATTTCCATAACAAATTCCTCGTCCTTTGTTTCAGTAATAGATGATCTGCACTGGATGATCTGCCTCCTTCCGCACACTCACTTTGGCTTACATCATCAGTTCATCACACTCTCCCCTGGATGAAATCTTGTATAGTTCCCGGCGCCCTGACAATGTCATCCTCATGATTTCATAGTTTGTCTATCCAGTTGTCACAGGTTTATCCAGGGGCAACTTGCAGGCGATGTTCAGGTTTCTCCACAAAGGCTTTAAAATTTACTGCTCTCTACTGACCATTGTCCCAAATCTGTCCAGAGCCAAATTAACTTATTTTCAGACTTCTCCCTTGTCTTCAGACCATGTGGTCATTGCTTAAAATAAGTTTACTATTTTGAAGAAAAAAATAACTTAAATGTACGCTCTGATTATTATTCATATTATCTGAATGTGGATATACATATTTAAATTAAATTTCATCATTTTCATCTAAGTAAAGTTTTATTCCAGTTTTTACACGTGCAAATTTTAAAATTATTTCCCTTTCAGAAGAACTTATGGCTAGAAGATTTTATATGTTCCTTTTAAGTTAATTAGTTAAGTTAAATTTAAAGCTAACAACAGGTTTATATTTTTTTCTGCTTTTCCCATAAAGTTTGTAAATACACGTATGGCCTAGTATAACACAAAGAAAATTATTTTAGTGGTAATCCAGCTTTGAAAAATAAAAATAAGAATGTACAGCAATATTTTCTTGTCCTTGCAGCATTTTGATGGGTCTTTGCTGGTTAGTGGTGGTGAGTGCTGGTTTGCTGTTAATTGTTAGTGGTACGGTAAGGTTATATGTTAATGTAGGCTATGCAGGGGAATGACCTCAAAAAATGCTGCAAGTGTCTACACTTTTTGTGCAGCTGATACAAAATGACTTTGGCATACATGGATGCTATATTGTTTTTGTATTCAAAACTGGATTTACCCTCCTAATTAAGTGAGTTACTTAATAATACTTTAATTTTACTTTAATTAGGTTTGACCTGACCTAAGTTTTGGTTACATTCATAGTGCTGTTTATGATGTTTAGTTCATACAAAATAGAGTTCTAGACATGTAATTTCTTGAGGTCTTAACAGTGTTATTCTTTTTTGTTGATTCATGAGTTGCTTATTAAATTAAAAGTTCAAAACTATATTTGGGAGCACTTATTTAAGGTCTGGGATGGGTTCACTGTTCTACGGTACTTGAGTTTTCTATTTTAAATCATCTTATCATATTTTAAATCAAAATGAAGATTTAGTTCTATAGGCATATTCTTGAGGTCCAAATTATATGAAGATTTGTCCATTGTTAAAGGTAATTAAAGTGAATTACTAGATTTCAGTTTAACTACATGTTATCACTGTTGAAATTATTCAACTTTTAGGCCCCCCCCCAAAAAAACTAGCCCGCCTAGACTTCATTGGGACATGGGCCTAATTGTAGAGACGTTTGACGGGCACAGTTTGATGGGCACAGTACATTCATGACAACCCAGTGTGGCAAGGACTTCGTTGGATTGTATTGTAGTTCAAGTAAGTGTCATCATAGCATCCACACTTCATCAGCTTGGAGACTAGCTCTGTCATGATAACCGTCTGTAAAATAAGAAAAGAGAGAAAATTATCAGTTTTCAAAGGCAGGCTTGTAATACAGCTTATTAAAACATCAGTTTGTTTTCACAGGTTTACAAGTTTTGCATATTCACTTGTTTCTTGCTGTTTCTATTCTGTGCTGTCTAAACGAAAAGAATGTAACATCTCAGTTCCTTATAAACTTTTTGACATTCACATTTTCTCTGGGTATAATGCAGTTTATGCACAAAATCACCAATTCATTTTTTTCAAGATACTGATCTTTCAAGGAAGAGTGCGATTTGTCAGTTTGTAATTAGCTGGTAAAATTTGGATTCCATATTATGTTGAGTGCAATTATTTTGTCAGTGTTGAATTAGCTGACCTGGGGGGGGGGGGGGGGGAGGCCGCTGGGGGACGCTAGGGGAGGGGCATTAGCCCCCACCCCGAAAAAAAAATCCATAAAAAATTGCACTAGCAAAATGTAAGAATGTGACGTACATGTTAATTAACGGTCTCCACCTAGATAAATAGTCGGTCTCCACCTAGATAAATAGTCGGGTCTCTCCCTGGATAAATAGTCGTGAGAAGGGTGCATATGTACACTTATAGTGATAGTATGTCTACATTTCAGCACGCCCACCTGAAAAAAATTCTGGATTCTCCCTGCTAGCCCCCCAAAAATATCGGCTATACAACCGTGCCTGAAACCACGATAAAGAGCTGCAGATGGAGATGCAGTGTTTTGAAAATTGGCAGCCATGCCCATGTTGACCAAAAGTGCCAAAAATGGCGGGTGTAGTGCGAAAACCTTTTGTCCAACGTCTGTAAAACTTATATTTCAGCTTTTTCCGCCTAATTTACCCCATAAACTAAATATGAACCAATTTGAAGGAAGCAGGGTTTAAATTTTAATTTTTTGGGTGATTTGACACAGAATGACCCTAGGACATATGAGAGCACTTTTTTTTCATAATTGTATGAGTGTCCAAAGAGTAATCCTTCTTCTTGACCCCCCCCCCCCGCCCCCCCCCCCCCAAGTTCGTCACCAGGTCACATGTTCCACAAGGTCAAATCAAAGTCAAACTAAAGGTCATAAGTTATCATAATTTCAATTACTCTGCCATGAAAAATAATGGTGAATATGGATTTCTCTTGATGTAACCTTTCCCCTCCCCCAAAAAAAAATTTCAAAAAAATTGCAGATAATATCGCAAAAAACGTTTGTCTGATGCGCTTAAACTTAATTTTTTTAGCTTTTTCAGCCTAAATTAACCCAAACACTAAATATGAACCAATTTGAAGGGGTGGGGTTTAAACTTTCAATTTCAAATTGTCTCCAGTATTGGCAGAATAACATTTTTTTTTACAAATTTGACTGATAAAACCACGCCCACTCCCCCCCCCCCCCATTTTTTTCTTCAAAAAGCTCCCCATGTTTTATGCGGAAAGAAAACGAACCAAAAGCTGAAAGATCACCGAAGGGATTTCTTCAATAAAAAGCTAAATTTCGAACGGTATTTTCAACAGCACCACCTTCAAAAATACCTACAACAGTGCAGTTAACTACATGCAACTTTTGAAGAAAAAAATGCTTCCGTTTTAGGCCAAAAGTGAAAAACTTACTTGACTATTTTGACAGTATTCGAACGGTTCCCTGCGCCCGCCAATTTATGAGTGCGTACAAAAATCATGTGCAAATTCGTTTGGTAAATCCCTGGTCCCTAGTACCGCTTTGTTTCCAAAAGCATTTGGGGGCGCGAACCAGTTAATTAATTGAGCCAAATTCGGCATCTCGTGTGCCGGTGTGAGCAATGAATTGTGGGACAGAATTCTCATGCGATGCTGTGTTTTATAGCAAGGAAGCTTGCTATTGGACGAGGACAGCGTGACGTGTTTGCTAAAAAAAACAAAGGCGTGGTTCATGACTTGCACATGCGCAAGTGAAATGGGCGTGCATGTTTTTTTCTTCCACATAAATTTTGCCTGCATGAAAAAACACCACATTTTAATATCGAACAGAGTTTTCAATGCTCCAAATTCAGAAGTACTATGCTCTACAGTATAGTGCAGTCACTTCTACCTGACTCTGAAGGCCAAATTGTTGGGATTTTAGGCCAAAAATGGTAAACTTACCTCGATGTTGTGACGGTTTCCGAAACTCTCCACCCACCGTGCCCGCCAAAATACGAATGCGTGGAAAAAACGCACATGGTCCCTGGTCCCCACTGCATTATCGCCATTCGCGCGCTGTGGTTTCAAAAGCGTTGGGCGGCGCGAACCAGTTATTACGGAAAGCGCCCTGGGCGCTGAAAATCAATAACCTTCCGCGAAGTGATTCGCATGACGCTATGATGTCATATGTATTTGGGGGCGAACCAGTTTAATATTTTCAATTTGCAGTGCCTTATATCCCAGTAACCTTCCGCAAAGCAATTTGCATAAAAAACACAACACCCCGCCGGCCGAACCAAGAAAAAGAGGGGGTGGGGTGGGGTTGAGGGAGTGAAAAAAAGGGGAAAGGGGCGGATCTACCTTTAGGATAGGGGGAGGGAGGGTGTTGAAATGAATTTTAATAAATCCAAGGGATTGTAATGAATTTTGAAACAACAAAAAAACTTTCTCCTAGATTCTCAGGTATGCCTTACAATACACGAAGAGCACCATCAATTTATTCAAACGAAATCTGCATGGTTTTGGTGGAAAAAAGTTGGAAATTATCTGGGGAAATGTATTGTTGACTGATTTTCCCCATTTTTTTCACTAAAAATTCCCTTTGAAAGCATATCTGTCCCGTTTAATATCAGTCAGCAGACTTTGAGGGACTAAAATTTTGTCTTTCAAGTGAAAAATCAAATGTTTCCTCATGTTTTCTCATACATGTAAATTCAAGGTTTACCCTGATAATTTTTTTTCCAGGGAAAACCAAATTTACCCAATTTTTATTTCATAAAATGCTTTTTCCTGCCTTTATGGCAATTTGAGAATAACTTTATGACCTCAAGGGTTCAATTAATTTTTTTGGTCAAATTTTATTCAATGATTAGTATCATAACATCAGTCAGCAACTGAATGGAGGTGGATGTTGCACCCCCCCCCCTTACACATTTTAATTTCTTGGGGATTAACCCAATTTCTTTTTTTAATGGCAAGGTTAATACCATACAGATTTTCTTTCTTGAAAAAAAAAGAGACCAATTTCCATCAAAATGCAATGTTAACCCCTTTGCACAATTTTCAATTTAACCTTAAATACAAGAGTCCCAACTTCTATTTCTATTTCTGTTTGTTTTCCTTGGGGGCCTACAGCACATTGATATTTCAATAACATTTCTTGCCAGCGAGTAAAGGGACCCACAATTTTTACTTGAACATGTGAAAACTGATGTGAAAAACTGATTCCAGTATTTTATTGACATGCATTCATAAATGAAATTCATTTTGTAATTTAGGGGTCATCCGGAGTTCTAAATACTAAAGCGTAGAGAGAGAGAGATCTTTTTTAAACCCCTCCCCTTCCAAAACAGAGTTTTTTTTAATTATCAGCGTTTGCGTTTGGGTTAACATGCATAAAGGTCACAGGTCACACAGCCTTTTTGCAAGGGTTGGTCAATTCATGAAGTTTGGTTCTGGGTAAAGTCCCTCAACCCCCCCCCCCCCCCCCCCCCCACTAAATTTTGGTGCTGCCATTTTGGTCTTGAAAATTCTTTTTCTTTATACCTGCAGTATTGAATGGGCCCCAAACTAGCACTTGCAATTTGTAGGGAAAATACATTTTTTTTTTTACTTTTAAAAGTGTACATAACGTTTCACCCCATCCTTAAAGCGTTGTAAGGACACTTTAAAATATTACTAATGATGGATGAACCCCAACACCAATATGAATGACGGTGCTCTTGCATATGAACACATTTGACTAAATATTAACAATTCACTTTTTAACAATAAACTTTTTGGAAATGCTGGTCTTTGAGGAACAAAAAATATACGAAAAAGGTAGCGTGGGTGTCTCAGTGCTGAGCCAATTTTTTTGTCTATGTCTTCGTCTAAACAATGCAGCTCAGATCAATTTTAGGCAAGGACTATAATTTCGTTAACTACAGTCTGAATAACTTGGATCAGACGAAGGACGGTTGGACCACTTCAGGCGACTCTTTAGAACCAGACACAAGGCACGGTTCCATCGCTGTTTACTGATAGCCACGCTCGTCATAATGCTCAGCAGGGAGCCAAGACCAAGACGTTCTGTGATGGCGTTTTGCCCATCGTAGATTGGAGGCGTTTGGATGTTACTCTTAATATGCAGCCGTACGTTACGTTACAAATCAAACACTAGTCGACTATTATAAAATGGTCCTCCCCTGAACCTTCTCTTGAATGCTTAACTGTCCATATTGAGCAACAGGAAGTCTCTTTACAGTTGTTCATCTGGAAATTGTGGCTTGACTGGTGAACTGTCCATGATGAGCCACAGAAGTCACACTATTTTTTAGCCTAATTCTTCAGCTGGAAACCGCAGCCTGATTGCCTAGCCGTGTCCTCTGAACCTCCTCAGCGACTGTGGTATTCAAATGCTTGCATTTCACCGGATCCAGTGGCAATGGGGGGCTGTTCTCTGTGGTACCAAAGACGTGCTTGAGGGCCACTCTTGCCGCTTCTTCCTCGGCTATGGCTAGCGTCTCGCCCGGGCCTGGAAAAATCAAACAGATCATTAATACTTCATAATCCTCCGACATTCACAAATACCTATCTAGACATAAACTAAATGTGCTCTTTTGCATTTTGTACAATACATGCATTCTAAGTTAGTGGCTGAATTTGGCATTCTGCCTGTCATAATTCTGGGACAAATTTGTCCCAAAATAAAAAGATTTCAGATATATTGGGGTTGGGAGTGTTATGACATCATTGTAGACGTAAATTTGCAAGGAACTTTTGATACTGCAACAAGACTAGGCAAGCCCAGAACAGATGATCCAAAAGCACACAAGAATCTATTCTTGCCATTCTGGAAGATTGTTCATGCATCTGTCTACACATTGGGACAGCATTAGCTCATTCATTATGGTACAAGGTAATCCTATATGATGGCACTGCCCAGCTCTCTTCGCTAGCCTACAGCCAGTCTAAGCACAAGTGGCAGTCGGTGGGTCAGTCAGTAACTCAGATAGCTACAAAGAGAACACTAGGCTGGCAAAAATTTGATCAAAACTAAAATATGGCCTCCATGTTCTTGGACTAACCATAAGCACTAACATTTTATGTTTTCTTGAAACTAATCCAGTGAATTACAAACCAATCAAATTATGAAGCAACACAATGTCCTTACCCCATCCAAGTAGCTTTTTGTCGCTGTAAACACCGACCATATAAAGAGGCATTATAGTAGAAGTGCCCACTTGCCGAAGTAGCCTAGAAAACCACAACAAAAAATAAAGAATATCTATGTTACCAAGTATGTAACATGTAGCAATTGTTGACTGCTGTGACGTGGGACAAACGCAGCAATGTCCATCATGAGTCGCGGCAAAATTGCAGTCAGGCAAGATGGCGTCGGTCGGTCACCCCCAACTGTGCTTTCTTTGCCGGTGAGGGGGTACTTGTGAACAGAGAAGGTACCAGGTCACAGAAAACAAATCTGCCTCCTTGCACTGACCAATCACGTACCTTGCTTCAGGCAAAGCCCTTCCTTCCCTTTCAAGTATCTCCACCAGCAGCCCCATCGGATTAGTGATAGGCCACAGCTCATTGATGTCTTTATCTACCAGATGGGACAAGATGAAGTCGCGGACAAACAGGCCGGCTTTCTGGGCACCCTGCAAGTGAAACAAGGCAGAAATTAACTCAGAAACTGCCTGCAATCTCTGTGAGGGGACGACAATCTGCCGCTGCTAGAGGGTGTTATCACGACCAACCAATATCGCCCAAGGACTTGTCAGTAGCAACGTCAAGGACATCTCCTGAAATCCCCCCCCCCCCTTCCCCCGCCTGAAAAATGGGGGAAACTAGGGCGCATGCGCAACTTCTGCAGGCAATTACGGTCCATTTTCAGTCCCTCACATACTACACACAACAAAAGAGCCGACCACTGAAATTGCACAAAAGTCTTGCTGCATCTTTTATTGTACCGGAAGAAATTTGAGAGTTTGCTTCGGAACTAATATGAATTGTTTGAATTGGGCGCTGCATATATTAAGCCAATCAGGTGTGTTGCATTACACCACCGATAGGAATTGGCCTAGACGTAGTTCTGACGGGTTCGTGGGTGATGTTGGTTGGTCGTGATAGCGCCCTTTCGTGGCGGCGGGTGATCGTGGTGGCAGATTATCGTGTGTCAAATCATAACAACGTCTAGCCCTTAGACTAGTAGGCACCATTATGACACTTGATAAAAGAATTAGCAATCAGTTTACGTGAAATAAGGCCAACTAACAACACACAATTGTGGCCGATCACAGAAAACCAGATAGTCACTGAGTTCTTTGACGTAATACATTTATTGCATACTTACTGTGTCTTGTACGATGGCTCCTACGATGGCCTGCAGAGCAGTGCTTGCGACTTCATGCGGGATGGGGAAATCCTGTAGGTGTACACAATTTCATTTAAAAATGAAATAGTCAGATGTGTCAATGGTGTAATATTTATGACAATTATTATGCATAATGTGGAATTGTCCAAAATGCACGTCTGACACCATGGAACTACCTATATGATCCTATATTTGCCTTTAATAACTGACACTACTATCGATTAGTTGAATAAAACGGCAAAATTGTTTGGGGTCTACTTACTGCGCAGAGGATGATGTCGGTCACCCCAAGATGTCTGCCAATGTAAACAAGAAGCTCCTGTCTTGTTAAATGCTCACAGATTGCACTGAGAAACAAAAGACAAAAACATGACAGTGATAAGATAAAGCGTAGATGTAGTAAGGGCCCATCTCAATTCATATCCGGGACGAGTTCCAGACAAGTTGTAGGTACAATCATTCACTTTGCCTGGAAGAAGCTCTGCATTTGTCCCGGACATGTTCCAGGGAAACTTTCATCAGCAGCAGCTTGACTCACCAATTGTGATAACTTCATTGCAGGAAGATTGCGGGGAATTTGTTCAGAATCCTGCAACTTATACCCATAGGATGTCCGGAACTTGTCCGGGATATTACGCCAGGATATGAATTGGGATGGGCCTTTACTCGTACCTGGACTTGTAATGTTCTTGTCATGACACTATCCATAACTCTTGCTTAGTTTAACCCTTACTCTCTGAGGGTAGTTTACTGCATGTCAGTTGGTTATGCCAATGCCCTCCAGCTGCAGTTTATTGGCAGATGGTGTTTCTTAACAGTGAAGGCTCCAATTGGCAGGAGTTGGAGGCCCTGGAGGGTGTCTGATACTGACCAGCTGGGGGCACTCACTTTGTTATCAGAGGACTCTCATTGTTCTCTGTGGCATGTATTGGAGTGCCTGTCCAGTTACCCTTGAAATGACATGGCAGATATTGGAGGGCCATGCAAAAAACATAGGAGATTTTCTTGAGGCACATATTGGCATGCGTTGGAGGGTCTAGTAGGGTAAGGGTTAATTTCTTAATGAACTTTGATTGAAACACACTGACTATGAAAGGCAGTGTTTCAACCAGACTAGTTAAGCATAGTAAACTGGTCCCAGGGTGCACAAAATTCTATTCAATTCTTTCGGAATGGCTATTCACTAGAAGTCTTTTCATGCATCTGGTCGACCTGATTCCAGATTTAGCCCATTCATTGGCATTATGATAATCCTATACGACAGCACTGCCCGGCTCTCTGGGACCAACGAAGACTCGATTTGTTTCACCAGACTCACCCAATTCCTTCCTCAGGGAGTTGACGGTAGACATGCCTCAAGTAAGCTTTGATGTAATCGGAGATAAAAACACCACCTTTCGGGCAAAATGAAACAAGAAAAACACCAAAAAAATCACAATCATTGAATTTCAAACTTGACTGGTAAATTTTTTTTTTTCCCGCTAGAAATTCAAGAAAAAATTGAACTCATTTCAACTGCGGTGAATTTCCCAACGAATGGTTGGTAACATAAAATTTGCTTCGGCTTTGCATTTGCAGGGACCAGCTTTTAAACCCCGAAAGTCCAGAGGCGCATCTAGAGGAGGGGGAGGACACCCCCCCCCCCCCCCCAGCTCAGCCGCTGACTAATGTTATACCAGTAAAATGGGTCCAAAAATATTAAATTTAATGCTAGTTCCCAAATTTCTGCTCATATTGCCTTAGAATGCAGGAAAAAGCATCACAGATTTCAAACAAATTTTTTCGGAAGGCATGCTGCAAACCCTCCTAGCAGGGCGTACCTTTGGCACCCTTTCAAGCTGACCCCCCCCCCCCAATTTCCTGAAGGCTAGATCCGCCCCTGTAGACCACTCACCGGTTTGGGCCAGTTCTTGGTTATCCTGAATGTCAAGTTTCGCTGCCTCGCCCTCCAACCCCATCTCTTTTCTCCTCGCTTCCTCCCTCTCCACGTAACTTTTGTCAGTCAGGGCCGTGCGTAGTGTGGCGTCTGTGAAATCCTCCCCTACGCGCTTGCCAAACGCGTACAGTTCGCTGTCATAGTCCCTAAGGTTAAATAATAATAGTAAATGTGTGCTGAATAAGGTTACAAATGTGTGCTTGGCCAGTTTTAAACACTCTGTTTAAGACTGGTTGGAGTCTGAATGGGTAATAATTACCCGAGCCAAAGGCAAGGGTAATAATCAGCACCCAGACTCCAACCAGTCTTAAACATTGTGTTCAATACCAGCCAAGCATATTTATTCCTATTCATAAATACCTTTTTGGTCAAAAATTCTAAATTTTCGATCCAAAAATCAAAACAAATAAAAAATTATAAATTTCCAATGATTTTATTCTTCAATTTTATTCATGTTTTGCGAAACACCCCTGTCCATCTCGCGAAATCTCAACTGGCAATCAACTTGTGAACCACACACAATACACATCCCCACATTTATTATTGTGGTTTCGCATTTTATTATCCAGGTGATGCAAATTCCAACATCGCATTATTGGGAATACATTGGGCTACACTGACCAGTTTTCTTGATGTGATCTGGGTTTCTTTTCTTCCGGACCGTACTTGTGTTGAATGGCTTGGACTTGCCTCCGAAGAGCAAACAGGAATGGTGCAAACCAGCGTGCATGGTGCCTCACATCTGAAGAAAATAAGAAACAGGAAGAGGTCCAATATTGGTCAAATTAGGAACACTGAGTTTGCACAGACATAGTGCTATACACTATACAGTACGTGTACAAAACATCCATTCCATGTGAACCGCGTGTGGTCAGCTGGCTGACCGTGGGTTATGCAGGCATGCAGTGCAGGCGCGCTGACCCGCGTGCCCGTGGGTTTTTTTTCATGGGAAGGGCAACTTTGGATACGATTGTTACCTGGGAAAATGGCACGTATTGACAAAACTGAACCATATTTAGTGACTTAATATCCCCATTTTGCATATGACATATGCGCGGTCTGGAATTATTTGAAATTTCTGCATGTTTTGGGAAAGATATTTTTGATAGGTTATTAAATGTCCCCCGTCAAAAAATGACTACCGTGCATACGTCGTTGAAAACATGGAGTCTTCTACTGTAACTTAGTTGGTACCTGATTGGCTGGATTAATGATTGGGTTGCTCGTATCGAAGTAGCATTTTAATGTACATGTAGTGCTGTTAGAAAAGCTGGGGACAATACAAGGTATTGAATTTTTGAAGGAAATTTGGGGAGGGGGGAATGGTGATGACAATGACAAAACGCAACACGAAAATAAAGATGGGGATCGCCGTGGTGTACCGTGAATGCGCAAGGCGTGTTAAATCCCACGGCACCAACCCTAAACCAAGTACACAAATTGTAATTTTTACCCCAAGAAACGGTTGAAAATTACAAAAAAGGTGTCATTTGAACATTTTTTGATTAAGAGAAGTCTGCTTAAACATGTGGAAACTATTTATGCTCATATCTGGCCATCACTAATTTTCCCGTCAGTGACCGATCAGCCATCAAGAAGTGATAATAATATGTCCTAGTAAACAGTCAAATTTAGCAGGAAAAATATTGAAGTATTTACTGAGAAAACACATAAACATTTTCAGACCAGTCTCATAGGGCTTGTGCACAGGGTAACCTTTCCAAACATGTTAAAAGTTTTAGGTTGAAAAGGTCATTTCAGAAAATGTTGTAACCTGACACCACTTTTTTCTTCATATATCATCTCAGTCATGTCAGTGAAGGTCATGGATTCATTGCAAAAATAATGATAAAACATGAATCTAGGACTGAAATATATTTCCAATTTTGTTAGGAAATACTTTTAAAAAACAATTCTTGACTCTCCATAGACTTTGTACACAACCGCGGAAGTGGCGTCAGGTTGCAACATTTTTTTCGTCATTTTTTTAATGATAAAAAACATCCTTGACTCTCATTTGATCGAAACTAAAGAGCAGCCCGTATTCCCGTAACTACATGATCGCTAAAATTACAGTAGGCCTAACGTTACTTTGAAAACAGCCCACGACGAATCAGTGTTTTCTTTGCCGTGCGTGTGGGGGGAATCGTGGGGCACGTTCGGCTGTTCGGCAGGCAGGGCACCAAGCGGGAGTGGAGGTAGGCAAACAGTCTGTTCTCGCTCTGGTTAGTCCACATACGAAGAAACCTACGTATCGGTAGCCTACACTTACCCACTCGAACTACTGAGACAGCCTTCCTTTGGACGAAAACTCGAGGAAATTGCCTGCAACGTCTTACACATGTTAGCGCGTGTTTTGCCAAGGCAGTCGCCATTTTCGGATTTTACTTAGGAGAGTACAGCGCCCTCTACGACAATATTTAGGAATTTTTTTGAGAAGGGGCGGGGCGCGGGCGGGGTACGGTACGGTGTGTGGGAGGGGTTGGGAAAATATAGGGGGTGTGAGGTAAATGTTGACGAACAAATAGAAATAACTATATGCCAGTAAATAAATTTATCAGGCTCAGGTCTCGTCAGCCAGGAGCTCGGGAGCTTATAAATGCAGCTTATAATTTTTTTTTTTACACAAAGAAATATATCTTGGATGCTACTCTAGTGGCTCTAGCTTGAAGCACGATAACATAACTCTGTGATGAGACAACTCTCTAAAGAGCAAACTCTTATTTGATTGAGCAAAGTTGGTGGGCGTACATTACTAATTGAACCATGACGATTGAGTTTATATACGATTTTTAATACATGAAATGCTCCGACAGTGCCCAGAATTTCAGTGGTCCTTTAATCTAGTTTTCAGATGATGTACGCGTGCGCATGAACTTTCAACTGGCCCCGCGGCAGAGGTCATCTTGAAAACACGGGGACAACAAGGTTTATTGCACACCAAAGGACTAAAGCCTACCGGCTGTGGTTTCCTTATTACAATAAATGGGCATTTCTTTATGATGATGTGCTTCAAAGAAATTTCTTTGTTTGTTTGTTTTAATCGCCGTATAAAGGAAATTTTAGCGGAGCGGCAAAGGTTTTTTTTAATAATTAAAAACAAATTGCATGGAATAATCATGAGGTTTGTCATTCATTTTCCCTTAAAAACCGACGAGCTATAGAACTGAACTTAGTAAAGTTTGCAATCATTGGTATAGCGCCCTCATTCTTCATTCTGAATCGCAACTGAGCGCATTATAAAAAAATTATGATACCCTTATAATTGAACTCTTAATTACCCTTCGTCCACCCCAAAAACCCGACGCAAGCACGTTAAAGGGCCGAACATGATCGTCAACTGTGGACCTTCGGGAATCGTGGACCCTATTGTCCTCTGTTTTGTTCAACGTCCCCGGCTGTTACAACTGATAATGTAATAACCAACGGATAGCGTTATACACCAACCGATGTGACCGATACTGTATCAGTAACCGAGAATGTTACAAAAATGACTGATAGTATAATTATGTACTAAATGCCAATACACTATCAGTCAAGTGTTGGTGTAGTACATTCTACTACGCTGTCGGTAAATTGTTGTTACATTATCGGTTAGTGATACAGCATCAGTCAATTGCTGTTACATTATCGGTTAGTGGTGATTTATCTGTTGGGTAGATTATCAGTTGTAACAGTCCCCTATTGAATGCAAAAACAAACTCACACACACCCATGACAATAATATATATAAAAGAAAAGGCAACTGAAGAGGAAATGTTAATTGTGCATCATGAAAAGCGCCCATTATCGTCAAACTCTCCCCCTCACCGGCTGGAATTTGGCAATTTTAGTACCGGTACCCACTGACGCCCTGTGAAAAAATCAGGACACACCACTGAACAATTCTAATAGCTCCACAACGTGAGGGCGCTATAAATGCTGAATAACTTGAGAAGGCCTTGAAACCAAAAAGACTAACTGATACTGTGCCTTCAATACCCGCTCCCCCCCCCCCCCTTGCTAACAAACTGCCCCGACCTTTAAATCGGTTTTAAATGCAAAAACAGGCCAATAACATAATGAAAAGTAACAAAAAATAACCATCTTTTTCCTAGATGCCAGGTTCTATTTGGTTTGGATAAACTTTGGTATGTTGTATCCCAACACAGAGAGACAGCGCCCTCCTACGATAGATGAATTTCAAATTAGCATGGAAACCGAGACTTTCAGTGCTAAGCGCTTATTAAGCCATAGTATGAAGTCTGTTTTACAAAATACTTTGAAGCCGGAAGCGCAGGTCATGGTAGGTTATTATGTAGGCCTATAGCGCCTACATGTTGCACGAATTGGCCATGCGCACACGAAAGACAGCTTGTCCAAAGACAGCTCAGAACGCGTTGACTCCGGGTCATGGGGTCAATTAAATATTCCAAGTTGAGATCAAAGGGATCAGCCCCGACAAAGTACCAGTTAACTCCCTATTGGATAGAACGGTGCGGACGAGCGAAATATAATCTGTAATGTATCTCAACAGGGTTCCATCGCAAAGCCTATTCGCCTGCCATAAGCAAAGATGACTAAAATACGTTTCATACCAGATGTATAGTCCTAGATAAAAAATTTAAAAAAAGTTGGAACAGTTGGAACTGAAGAATAAATTAAGAGAACAGTAAACCCGAAGATGACCACCTAAACCTGGACCCCTGAGCATATTACACAACTCATCGAATAATTTAGCTGATGATCCTTGGGGGGAGGAGGGTTCATCATTATACCAAGAAAACAGACGCCGAGATTGGGCTCGCTGAAGCGGATAGGACGTCAACCACATAATGTCCTCGCTGACCAACAGGACGGACCTGAAATTTCCTCTCTAGCATGAGTTGAAGGTTTGTCTGCCGATAGAAAATTTGGTTGCTATGGTAACCAGGAAGTCCCTTCTGTAAACGATCATCAATACTACGTCATGTTATGTACTCTAGTCTATGACTGTGTTATAATAAATAAACTGCCTTCGACGAAATAGTCCCCATTATTCATTTTCAATAGGTGTGCATCCATGTAAAAAGTCCCATAGACACCAGTGATAAATTCCCATACTTCAACAGTCTGTTATACAAATACACAAAATTCTCACAGGCGTTCATGGCTTCACAGAATAAAATGATGATCAACATGTCCTCTTTCGTTTTCCTTTCCATATTTGGTGGGTTTACCAATAACTTTATGAGAAATTCTCATCCAAAGAAGCCCACCATTTTGAAAACATATCCCTCCACAACATGGCTAAATAGCGCCATTTTGCTATAAATGGGAACTAGCTACCGGTCCCCATATCATGGGAGCGGGAACCAGTCTAGGGTTACAGCCCAGTAAATAGGCCAAAAATCCGTCCGCCGAGCTCATGAATAGAAGTCACACTCAAATTATTCTATATTAGAGTTCTGAGAGCCATGGAATTGGGGGATTGAAGACATATGGCACTGCACCTCTGGCCTGGAGTTGGGGCTTCCAATTCTGTGCATTTTGGATGCAATGGGGTCCGAAAGTGGCGCTATTTAGCCATCTTGTGGATGGATCCATGCATTGTGGAGGGGCTAGACAGATTATTTTATGCAAACCATTCTGTCAGAAATTCAGTGTGGGATATTGTATATTTTAAGACTCATGTATGTCAATCCTTCAAGATTCTCCATGCTCAAAAATCAAATCAAAACTGTATTTCCATGCCAATTATTCTTTTATTTACAACAGCAAATT